GCATATACCCTATTACAAAGTCTGTGTCTTTTGGAGATAAAAATTGCATGTAAATTACTTTCTATTGGTAGTTCCTAATATTTTGTTTTTAATTTAAATTTAAGTATTAGCTAGAAAACAACTCTTATGATTGCATTTGACACACTTTCTTCTCTGCCTGTTTCTTGTTAAGTTTATATTCTCGTTCTGTCTCATCACAGATTCACGGTTTTGGTTTCAAAGTAAACCATTGTACTTGGTGAGAATTGAGTATGCCATGCATCTTTTTCTTTTTTTTTCTTTTTTTTTCTTTTTTTTTCTGGTGAGAGAGAGAGTATATGCCATGCATCTTATATGCATTGATTCTTTAGGTGGGGTTTTCATAGAGTTCTCAAGTCCATTGATTTTCTAATGGCAGCAGTGTTATTTAGAACAGATATGTAGGTCGATAATCAATTGTGTGCAAGGAAATCAACAAATGCTCAAAATGTTAGGTTCAGTTGACAATTCATGTGCTATGGATGGATCCAACTTCGACTGCATTACACGGGTGATATAATCAATCACGGTCACTTGTAGGCTGTAAATGATGCATTGTTATATGTCTATTGACACCTTATGCATCTTTGCTTGAGAAACTTAAATCTTACAGATCTCTTCTTTTCTCAGGGTCTGGCATTGGTTATGCACAAAAATCATGAAGGTCCAGCTGTTTTTGTGATGCTTAATAAGGCTTTAGAAATTGCACAGCGGGAAAAAAGAGTCATTGAGGAGAGGAATATAAGAATTCTGATTGCACAGATGCATGTTGTGAAGGTAACAATCAGTCCAACCTCTCATTTTCTAAAATCACGAACTGGTATCTATAAAAATATCACTCTTTAAAGTTCTTAAACTGTATTCAAGAGCAGAAACTTTTTGTTCAAATTGAATTCCTTGTATATAGAAAATGAATCTTAATCTGTTGCCACCTAAGGTCAATGAGAATCAGAACAACTATGGTCTTTTCATGTGACAGCATATTTATATATTTATGCCTTCTAGGGAGAATTGGAAGAAGGCTTGAATAAATTTCAAGATTTGGTCAAAGCGGATCCTCGAGATTTTCGACCTTATCTATGCCAGGTTAGTTTGCTCATGTTATTTTACTTGCTGCTGCTGCTGCTGCTGGTTTTTCTTTGGCTTTGCTTAGAAGAATATTTGACTGAGATCCTAACAACTTTCGGTCCCAAATAAATAAAAGTAAAATCTTAACTTCAGCTTTTAATGACAATGGGAAGTCAAAAGAATTTGCCATGTTATCAAAAGACCCTAAGTTCATATCCCTGCAACTACAACCTCCCAATTTATGTTGAATTTTACGTGTTGGGCTCTATATGGGGGTGTAGAGAGAGTCGGACATTTGAGGAAAAATATTACTATCAAACAGTTGTTGAGCCCACAACCTATGACTTAAACTTTTAGTAATAGTGGTAAATCAAAAAAACATATTATTTCTCATATGAAATCTTCTCTCTCTTTGTGGCTGATAGCTATTGGGTT